TGCTGCCCTTTTCACTGAGCTGAACATCAAAGATTTCCTCTAATGTTGCAGATGTCAGTTGCTCCGCACTTGAGCACATGAAGGGCAAGAATGCAGATGCATGCTGCTCCAAAGCATGAATGACATCCAGTGTAGAAAGTCCATCCTTGAATCTAGAAAACATTTAGAACAATCATCACATTTATAAAAATCACGGTCAGGGATTGCGAATAAAAAGAGTGAAGAGGACACACGGACATAGTTCAAGTGTTATCTGTAAGAAACAATAAAATAAACTGCTTAATTAAAGAGGTAGGCTAAAGAATGTCAAATCATGTAAAGAAACAAGTTAACTTTAACTAAAATAAGCCAAACTGAACTAACCAAACTTAAGAAAAACACCCAAGGGGACAAGAGGGAAGGATTAAGCCCAATAAGACCCTCTGCACTACAACACAGCACCTCAGTCTTTTTATATAGGGCTGAAGAAGCAGTTCAGGTGTTTTCAGTCAGTGTGACTGCTGCACTCCAACCACTGGACCCGCCCCTGCTGCTGTAGCTCAACAGCCACCTGACAGGGTTGTTACACCTTCATGACAAAGGATCTTAAAGGAGCAGTTCTTCCCAACATACAAGAACATAATTTTGATTGATAATTTAGAACATAATACAATGTTTAATGTTCTAATCTTTTTTTACAACAGGCAATCTTGCTAATTCGTTCATTGTCTGAAAAAGAATAAAATGCCAAATGACTAGTAAAAGTTTTAACAACCAAACATTACATTATTGTGTAGTGCTGTAGATCTTTTTCCATTTACTGAAGTAGGTGTGCCAGCTCCTTGCTCATTTGGATGGTGACTACTGTTATAAAATTACCCTGCATTCATTTGTTGAAATTATGAATTTGACTTTGGAAAAAAAATACATGAACATATTTAACAACGATCTTAAATTAGGCAAACATCTCACCTTTGTATTGAAAAGTGATTGCGGTAAATGATGTACCACTGAAGGAAATCCTTTATGATCTTCTTTTTGTCATCCAAACTGGCAGGGTACTGAAAGCAACCAGCAGTCTGTAACATGCTGGAATGTCTGTCAACAGATGTATGTAGTTCATCTAGTGTAGTTGCATTTGATATCTAGGGTAGAGAACAATGATCATAAACATAAATGGATGTGCTGGCACACTCCCATTTGAGGTATTTAACATGGAAAAAATAGACTTAATGAATGTCAGAATTTATTTATTCTGCCTTTACAGTATGAAGACATTTTTAAATGTAACAACATAACCTGATAAGGACACATCACAAATGGTTTCAATTACTTGTCCTTAGTTACTAGCCCTACCCAGGTTAAAGAAAAAAGCATCACTGTGATCTGACTTGAACAACTACTTGAGCTTTGTTAATAATACCAACTCACCTCAAGCAAGGAAGCCCGCATGGCGTCATCAGTGATACCTTCCACCTTGGCTTCAATATCAGTGGTTGTTTCTGTGAGGTGATGGTACAGCATCTCTGCCAAGAAGTGAGGACCGGGACCACCATGAAYGATAGATGTGGCAATCATCCTCCCAGCAAGAAAGTATTCATCATCTTTTRCAGCTGTATGTAATTTTGTCACATTAGTTCTACATCAATCAAGACTTTACAATGAACATTCTGAAACATCACTCTGAATGATGTTATACCTGCACTGTCAAACGTGATGAATTTCCTGTCCTCTGGTCCATCAAAGATACTACGAGTTCTTAGGCAGTTCATCAGGAGGGTCAGGAACTCACGCTTGGGACCACCGTTGTCCACACCATCCTCAGCTTGTCCCTCATCATCAGTGAACTTCACCAATATTTCATGGCATGGGTTAAAGGAAGCATGTTTGAAGCCTCGGACTGCTCCATCCCACACATTGGTTCTATTGATATTGAATCTGTTGTGAGATGTTCCTGTTATTTTTGCAGAAAGCTCTGAAATAATGTCTGCAGCTGTCATCTTGTCTGTACTGTAAAAGAGGTAGTATATTTTTACTTCCGATATTAGAGGCAGAAAAAAATTCAGAAAAATGCTAATTAGTAATTAATACCTTTCATTTTTGAAGTACTCCATAGGC